TGTGATAAGTCTATAAGACGAAGTAGGATGGCATATAAGAAAGAAGCATCTGATTTACAAAGAAAGGTTTCCAGAAGTGAGTTTAACCTGTGCCCTGGAGGGGAGGCAGGACTAGACAGGTAAATAGACAGGAAATGTCCAAGACAGAGGGGTTGGCAGGGCCAAAACCAGAAGTAAAAGAGATGAGACTAAGACAAAGCTGGGGGACTGAAAGCAGGGTTTGTAGAGTCCAACCGAAAAGGCAGAGGTCAGATTGTAAACATAAGCTTTTAGAGCCATAGTAAGAGAATTGGATTTTAGTTTGAGAACAAAAATATTGTTTGTTGAGGGAGCGTTCATAGTTAGCTTCCTGCTGTAGAAAACCAATCTGGATATAGCAAATCAAACAGGGGCTATTAGAATGCTATACAATCAGCTCACTTAATTTGTGTGTGTGTGTATGTGTGTGTGTGTGTGTGTGTGTGTGTGTGTGTGTGTGTGTGTGTTTTGTTTGTTTTTGTGAGCCCTTCAAACAGTGCATTGTTATTCTTGACAAACAGAGTGGACACAGGCTGGCAGCAGTCAGTGGTGGGTGCTTATCTACTGTGCCCAAGGCTCTAAATTTAGTTCCCATTGCTGAGATGGAACCATAGCAACAACAAAATCCCAAACAATGTGCACCTGATTTTAATGGTCTCAACCAGTCTCAAATACATGTATTCAAGGAGTATTTGTGTAGCTATAGATGCAAATGTAGATGTGCAAACCATGGGCTGACATGTAGTGTTTGTCTTTATAGTTCTGTGGCTCTCGATAATTAGTTTAGTACTTTGTTATTACTTTTTGGGAAAACATTCCACAAGTTTATAAAGCTTTTGTGAGAGCTTTGTAACAAGTGTTGTAGAATTCACTATACTGTTTCAGTAGCTGTTGAATTCTCAACATCGTGAAACCAACCTGCACTAATTTTACACATGATGTACTCCTGCTAATTTTGCTTATTCAAAATAAAGTTGCCATTGTAGAAAATCCATACCAGCTTAGAAGTCTGTTGGCATCCAAATCTGCTTTGTTCTCCTCTAAGTCTGCCAGCCTCCACTTGCAGTTAGTGCCCCTTGCTGTTGTGGTTGGAACTGTGGGGTGAAAGTGGGGGCTGTGTTGGCGGCTTTCAGATGTCATCCTTTCCCAAGCCTAGAGGCTCTCAGGTGTGACCCTTCTGGTTGTGAGAGACTACAGGCTCCAGCTGACACCATCTTTCCTATAAATCGACCACCTCTGAGCATCCGTGCTGATGGAAACAAGGGATGAGGGATACTTGCCAACATTCTAAAGATATCTTTCTTCAGATCCTCCTCTGTCTACTGCTGGAAGGGACATGAAAATTGATTCAAAGAAATTCATTACATATGTTGATTTATTAAGTATGAGTTAGTTGATCACCAGATTTTTGTTACAGGAATTTGAAGACTCAGCAGTGCTCTGGGATTTATTCCTATCATTTTATGGATTATATTTTGTATTTAATCTTATAACATTCATGAAATGGAAACACACACACAAGGAGGAAAAGCCAATGAGCTAGTTGATAATAGCTAACGTTTTCCTAACAATGCTGTAAGTTTACATCATGTAGTATCCATCGTGATTCTTACAAGAAAAACTAAAAACATGTTTCTTAATTTCATTTGAAGCAATTTGATACATTTTAATTTTTGAGGCCAATATTAGAATAACTGCAGAGAGACAGAAATACTCCGTGTGAAGTGTAGAGGAACAGTGGGCTTTCTGGCACTGCTTTGTGGGTGTCTACTGTGGATCAGGTTCTGCCTGCTCTCACCCTTCGGGAACCCTTTCTGATCCTGTTTGTTCGTGGCTCTAGTATGACTTCAGAGAGTTGAGAGATGTGTTTGCTTTTACCAGCACAATTGAACTGGGAAAATGGCTGGGAGTTCAGATAACTTTCTCAGAATGCATTCAGTGGTGGGAGGTTTGTAGGATGAAAATGAAATTGTAAAACTATACACAATAAAAGGAAACACTGATAAACAAGAATAGCAGATGCCCATCTAGAGAAGGGAATTGGTTTTCAGAGTTCATTTGAATTTCAGAGCCACATGGAAGAGTGAGTTTGAAACATGAGAAAGTGGCGAGTTCTAATTGTTTCTCTCTCCTTGACAACACAAAATAAATGAGTTTTATTATTTATTTGAATACTGAGAAGACCATATATAATAAACAAAATGGCAGGTATATGGCTAAAATAAAACAAACCAAGCAACAAAACAAATGCATACAAAACCCTGTGAAGCAAAGCTCAAACTATATAATGAACCACACCAAAATGTATTCTAGATTCTGGGACAGACACTTGATTAGATTATTTGTTCCATTTAGCAAGGAAGGCAAGGGGTAAATAGTTTTACTTTATAGATAAGAAAATGGAACTGAAGAAAAGTTTAAGTGGCTACTTAAGTACACAAGCCTAGGAATAATTAAACCGAATTAAACCAAATCCGTTTTCATCTGATTTCTAGCTTAATGATCCTTTCTCTCTCCCACCATTTCTCCCTTCTCTTCCATAGCTTTTGTTGATTTCTTAGTATATATAAGGCACCAGGCACAGAACTATGAGTAAACATTAGCAGTCACCTTCATTATTTTGTTGATCCTCACATGATTTTAGATGGTAGCCAGGGTGGGCACTTTCATTTTAGAGGTGGTATCATTCTATCTATCTTATGGGTGTGGGAACTCAAGTTGGAAGAGGTGATTTTATGTAAGTCATGATCAATAGTTTTTAGTAATGCCAATGCTACAGCAAACATGCATAAGAAGTTCATATGCGCCAGATGACGTAAGTACTTTACAAGATATATTCTTTGTGGGGAGCCTTCTAGAACATCCACAACATGGCGTTTGTGTGTTCCCACACCGGCACTTGTTCCCACCTGATTTCTATCAAGACAAACCACTAGTAGCCTGGGAGCTGCATCAGGACCGGCTCTCCCATGGCATGCATGTTGAGTCATGCCATTGTACATAAATATCTGCAGAATTAAACAACTAAAACAAAGCAGATAACTACTGCTTTCAGTGTAGAATAAGGGGTGTTACTTTAGGTGGGTGAACTGGGAGTTAACTAGTCACAGTGATTATTTGATTTATAATTTCAACCTGCAGAACATGAAAATTCTTAAGAATTATTATGTAGTCAGAATGATGGCAAAAGACTTCTGTGAATTTTTTCACTCGCTTTGCTTTTCCTTATCATACCCACTCTTTCTCTGCTCCACTCCTGCTCTCTGGAACTCATTCAGAATCAGAGTCCCCAGTGGTAAAGATGAAAGAATGAGAAAGATCTCAATCCATCTCTCTGAGGGTAGGGGTAGGGGTAGGTAGGCGGCATGATGGTGAGAGGACCCGGACTTTGTATGATAGCAACAAGAACATGCGGGACATTGTATGACAAGATTGTAGTGTCTGGGATAGAGAGGAGTGGCAGCGATGAACTGAGGACAAATATAATTGGCGCTGATATACCAGTGGAACATTTTAACAGGGGAAGAGCTTCTAAGTTATGACTGTTACATCTCCAGTTGCTGACAAGCTATAATAATAGTACTGAAAAAGATGTGAGAGCATTTGGGCCTCAGTTAACTTATATTATGGGTAAGGAACAAGGCATGATCGTTGTTCAAATTAGAGAAGAAGCAAGGGAACTTGCTTGAAGTTGACGATAATAACGTGAATAGATTACCACCTACATGCAATGCATTCTTCATTCAAGAGCAGCCTCCTAACATGAGGGTGTATCTGAGGAGAGACATTGCTAGGCAGTTCTGACACAGCCCTCCATACCAACAGGTTATGTGGTACTCTGGGACCTATCAGTAGGAAAACCATCACATACTCATGACTTGGTCCCATAGCTGTGTGAGAGTTATTGCATACGTATGTCAGCAAAATGCCCAGGAGGTGATGTAGAAGGAGCCAGCAGGAGTAAATGTGTGACTCTTCCTAAGCAGTACTAAATAAAGAAGCTCATAAGTCACCTGTTATGAGAAACTTCAGGGAACTTCCCCCACCCTTAAAATTGCTTCTGCAGGGTCAACAATATATAGCAAGAATTCTGAGCTAGCATCTTAGCCCTGGATTATATTCCCCATCCCAAGATGACACTGTTTCTTCTTGATGATTTTTTTTTTTTTGCTTTTTTTGAGGCATGGAATTTTCCCACATTTAAAAATTCAATAATAATAATAATAATAATAATAATAATAATAATAATAATAATATGAATGTTTTTTAATATGACCTTTTCTTTAATAAAATCAGTAACTGACTGGAGATGGCTGGTTTCATAAAGATTTCATACTCTGTTCTCTGAGATGTAGTCATTTAGTTATCAAACATATATTTTTAGCATATTTATATCCAATTATTTATTGAACATCTGCTGTTCAAGAGTTTGAACACTAAACATACCCCTGGCTTTTCCTGTTTGTGCAAAGGATAACACTTTCAATATCTAGTTATTTCCTGAACTCTGAAATTTATTCATTATAACAACACCTTTCTTTAGTACTTTTTAACCTCATATAAGCCTCATAGAACAGTAACTATGATAAAAACAATAGAAGTTAATAGTACAAATTTCAATATTTTAAAAGGCCTTATGGAATGGCTTACGGGCATAAGCATAATTCTTAATAGCTTTTTAATATAATATTTTATTAATTCTTTGAGGATTTTCATACAATGTATTTTGATCATAATCAACTCACATTCCTCTCCCTAATGCCTATTAGATTCACACCTCCTCGCCACTTCAACTTCTTGGTCTCTCTCTCTCTAAAAATAAATCCATCAAGTCTAATTATGCTGTTCAAGTTGTGGGGCCATCCACTTGAGCATGTCATCCTACTCGAGGCCATACCCTTAAAGAAAAATGATCCCCCCAGAGGCCATCAACTGTCAGTGGCTCCTCAGCTAGGGATGAGGCCTCTGATCCCTACCCACTCCTAGCTGGAATATTGGCTAATCTTGTGCAGATGTTGTGCAAGGATGCACAGGTGTGTGGATATTGTGCAGGTGATGTGCAGGGATGCACAGGTGTGCAGATGATATGCAGGGATGCACAGGTGTGCAGATGATGTGCAGGGATGCACAGGTGTGTGGATGATGCGCAGGGATGCACAGGTGTGCGGATGATGCGCAGGGGAGCACAGGTGTGCGGATGATGCGCAGGGGAGCACAGGTGTGCGGATGATGCGCAGGGGAGCACAGGTGTGCGGATGATGCGCAGGGGAGCACAGGTGTGCGGATGATGCGCAGGGGAGCACAGGTGTGCGGATGATGCGCAGGGGAGCACAGGTGTGCGGATGATGCGCAGGGGAGCACAGGTGTGCGGATGATGCGCAGGGGAGCACAGGTGTGCGGATGATGCGCAGGGGAGCACAGGTGTGCGGATGATGCGCAGGGGAGCACAGGTGTGCGGATGATGCGCAGGGGTGCACAGGTGTGCGGATGATGTGCAGGGATGCACAGGTGTGCAGGTGATGTGCAGGGATGCACAGGTGTGTGGATGATGCGCAGGGATGCACAGGTGTGCGGATGATGCGCAGGGGTGCACAGGTGTGCGGATGATGCGCAGGTGTGCACAGGTGTGCAGGTGATGCACAGGGATGCACAGGTGTGCGGATGATGCGCAGGGGTGCACAGCTGTGCGGGTGATGCACAGGGGTGCACAGGTGTGCGGGTGATGCGCAGGGATGCACAGGTGTGCAGGTGATGCGCAGGGGTGCACAGGTGTGCGGATGATGCGCAGGTGTGCACAGGTGTGCAGGTGATGCACAGGGATGCACAGGTGTGCGGATGATGCGCAGGGGTGCACAGGTGTGCAGGTGATGCACAGGGATGCACAGGTGTGCGGATGATGCGCTGGATGATGTGCAGGGGTGCACAGGTGTGCGGATGATGCGCAGGGGTGCACAGGTGTGCGGATGATGCGCAGGGGTGCACAGGTGTGCGGATGATGCGCAGGGGTGCACAGGTGTGCGGATGATGCGCAGGGGTGCACAGGTGTGCGGATGATGCGCAGGGGTGCACAGGTGTGCGGATGATGTAGGGATGCACAGGTGTTGTGAGTTCATGAATGCAGTGGTCCTGGTATGTCTGTAAGATGCTGTTTTCCTCCAGGCTCCCCGAAACTCTAGCTCTTTCGATACTTTCTGCCCTTCTCTTTTGCAATGCTCCCTGAACCTCAGAAAGGGGATGATTGGTGTCCCATTTGTTTTGTTTTGTTTTGGGGGTCTCCACAACACCTCTGACCAACAACTTGACTGTATGTATCCCATATCTGACACTGGGCTTTTTATTTGGCAAACTATAGTTCCTGGGGAAGAGCATTATCCTCCATGTAGGGTAAATCCAATTACACTCCTTTATATAAAAATGGTATCTTTATAGACAAGAAACTTCTAAGTAATGGCCAGCCAAATCAAACAATTAAAAAAATAATAAAAATCTCCTTTTAGGTTGGGAATGTCACTATTATTCTCTTAAAAATTATAAACTGTTAACTTTTATTTGTCTGATTCATCCCTGAGTTGTTGTGGTTTCAGGCAGGAAGCCTGAAGTCACACAACTTCACTTAGCTCATTTTTACTGAGGTTGGAGGTTAATCTTTATCCCTTGTTCTGGGTACTTTGGTGTTAGAGGTAACTTATGCTCCCTCCTCAGTATACTTCACTACTAGTGGGGATAATATAGCAAGCAACAAGTGTAAGCTTCCACTGAGCACTTATCCTGCACAAGACTTTTGTTCATGTATTCTGCCCCCTTTAAGTCTCTCAACATTTGTAGCATGGCTCATCACTTCTTCTTTCCTTTCTTTTCTCTTCTCTTCTCTTCTTTTCTTTCCTTCTAGACAGAGTTTCTCTATGTATCTCTGGTTGTCCTGGAATTCACTTTGTAGACCAGGATGGCCTCAGACTCACAGAGATCCATCTGCCTCTGCCTCCCAGGTGCTGGGATTAGAAGTGTGCACCACTACCACTTGGCCATTTCTGTTCTTATTTATTTTCTTTTAAACTTGTGTGTGTGTGTGTGTGTGTGTGTGTGCGCGCGCGCGCGCGCACGCACACACACGTGAGACAGAGAGAGAGAGAGAGGGAGAGAGAGAGATATCTATTATATATATTATATATATATAATAGGGCTCCTTTCAGTATTTCTCTTTCTTCCCTGTGTCTTCTGGGGATCGTACTCAAGTTGTTAGTCTTGGTGGCAAGCATATTTACACCCTGAGTCCTCTCATTGTCCATCATTTGGGTTTTATAGATGGAGGAAGTGAGAACTAGCAACATCAAGCTGCTGGCCTGTACTCATTGAGTTAATTAGTGTTAGAGCAAGAATCTGACTCTGAAACTTCATGAGTTTACTCATGTCTAAGTACATAATCAGGGAAAGAAACTATATACAGGCATAAAGTAGCTTCAAAATCTCACTGTATTATTCATTCAACAGGTATATCTTTCAGTGCTTTCTCTGAACATATCTCTAAGTGATGCAGGGACACTGGTCAGAAAACGCAGTTTTGTGTTGAGTACCCACCCTTCTTTTGATGATTAATATTCTATTGGTAAATATTCTGACATATAAAAGGACAAGTAAGTTAGATGAATGACCACCATACTAATTAGTTACTATTCCCCATTGAGATAAATAGTTAAATGAGAGCATGGATTTGAGAGCTTTCTATGAATGGTTCTGACTGAGGTGAGAGGCCTAAAATCTTGAAGTAAAAGCTTTAGGTAATATCTAAGAGGGTGAGGAAGAGTCTGATAGTTGAGATAAAATTGTAGAAATCTTTCAAGATGGGAATGCAAAGTTCTGAGGCAGAAGGGAGCCTGGTATGTTCAGAAACTGAAAAGGAGACACTGTGGTGGGAGGGTTCGGGGTAGCGGTAGGGGGTGGGGGAGAGGAGGGACAGAGGGAGAAAGAGAAAGAGAGGGAGGGAGAGAAAGAGGGAGGGAGAGACCTATTCATGTCTTGCCTTCTAACAGTTTGGACTTGGGGGAGAGGCTAGGGGAGGAGCCCACAGCTGGCACTGAGATTTTGGACTGGGTTAGTAGTCTAACAGAGCAAGGCCCTAAGAATTTTAAGCAGAGAATTAACAAACAGCACAGATTTGCAGTTTATAAAGTCCCCTGTGCTGGCAGCATGGATCACAAACAAACTAGCAGGCATGCCAGTTTAAAGCAATAGTCAAGGTTAGAATTTGGCTTCAGGCCTAGGCTGGTCTTAGTCACCAGGCCATAGTAACTTGTTGTCTTCTTTCTGATGTAATATAAACAAGGACATTAGTATGGATCTCAGAAGAAAGTGGTCAGGATAATGAAGAAGCAATAATAGGAACCAGTTATCCCCACCTTGGGATGAGGAAGCCCAGGCCTAGGAAATGTTGTTTACTGTAATCATTTGGTTTCTCTGGATGTTTTAGAGGAAGAGTGTTGGGATTGAGAGACAAATACAAGGAGGATAACAGAAGGGAGAGAACATTCCAGAGACAAAATGAACATTCGAATAATAAAACCCCATATGGGTCACGAGGAGGCTGGGTCTCAGGATGACCTGGCTGAAGGGACACTGACTGGTCCAGCAGTTAGATGGGGGTCTGACATCATTGCTTTCACTCCAGTCTCCTTGCTAAGAGAACAGGGATCACCTTCACCTGCTTTCTTCATAAGCTAAGGGCCTAGACAAGCTAGGTAAGCAGAATTCAGTTGGTATCCTATATCGCCAGTTAGAAACCTCCTTGTTTTTCATATGATATAGAAACTACATTAGCAATGAGACGAAAACCTCAATTACACAGTTAAAAGAGTATGCAGTGCTTATAGTGCTCTTGTTAGTGTGGAAGAATTTTGCATTCTACGGGCCCATTTGGAATCATAGATAATAAGCAATAAGAGCAGTCAGCAATTAACATGCAGTGTTGGGAGCGGTGGAGGGAGACACGATGCAGAGGAGGAGAGGGGGCAGGAACAATGAGGTTTGGACTTTCACTAATTTTCTCAAGTGTAAGCTGTGCATACCTTTAAAAGGTGGGGCCAGATAGAATCTGGTCTTTAACAGTCTCTGTTAGGTTTTTAAATTTTTAGTAGTTCACTTTTCCCGTGATTTGTGAATATATAGTTAACATTATTAGATTAATAAACTTAATTATTCTACTTAAAATAATTCTTGACTTAGCCACTGTGGTAGGTACTGAAGTGAAAACATAAACAAAGAAAAAAAGAAAGGCCAAAAACCCAGAGGTTTACAAAGATTCTACTTTCATGTTACTTTAACTAAAATCCTTAAGGTTTAACTAAAAAAAAAAAAGCTTATGAAGACAGGCCATGCAGTGTAGGTCTGTAGTCCTAGCTCTTCAGGAGGCTACTGAAGAAGGATAAAAAGTTCAAGCCTGACCATTGCAGTGGGAGTTCAAGGCCAGTCCCAGCAACTTAGCAACAGAAGTAAAGGGAAAGCTGGGGTCAGAGCATGGCAGTGGATTAGTGGGTCACCTTTCCAGAATGTGCATCATCCCAGTCTTCAGAGTTCACAAGCAACAAACAAAAGTGCTGAAGTGCTTTTGAAACTATTAACGTACTGTTTAAAACAGAAAAGACACAATGGGAAGTTTGGAGTTAGTCTCCACCATCTCTACTCTCTATGCCTCCGTTAAATTTCAGATACTTAGAAGGTGTAGATAAAGCAAAGTGGTAATTGGTTAATGTGCGTTTCTCTGGGTCGGTCCAGAGCCACTGAAACTGACTCAGATTTCATGCAGGATGCAGTTGTTAAGTGTGATCAGTGTTGCTCTCGATGAAACCATTGCTTTTGTGTGTTTCAGGGCCGGCTTGATTCTCTCACAGAAGTGGATGACTCTGGGCAGTTAACTATCAAATGTTCTCAAAACTACTTGTCTCTGGACTGTGGTATCACTGCGTTTGAACTGTCCGACTACAGTCCAAGTGAGGATCTGCTTGGTGGCCTGGGTGACGTGACTGCTAGCCAGGCCAAAACTAAACCTTTTGACTCTTGGAGCTACAGTGAGATGGAAAAGGAGTTCCCAGAGCTTATCCGAAGTGTTGGGTTGCTTACAGTGGCCGCTGACCCTGTCCCTTCCAGCTGTGAGACAGCCGCTGAGGAGTCACCTCAAGTGACTCTTTCAGAAGATAACAAAGGTGGGCAGGAGGAACACATCGTTCCAGCCGCTGGAGAGCAGCCAGGCTCAACATCAGGGATGTCTTCCTTCGGGGACACACTGACAAACCCTGCTGAACAACC